AATTCATCCCCCATATAGTAATTCATCCCCCATAGTAATTCATCCCCCCTATAGCAATTCATTCCCCATATTAATTCATCCCCCATATTAATTCATCCCTCATATAGTATTTCATCCCCCACAGTACTTTTCCCCCCAAAGTAGTAAGCCAAGTCCCCCCTGTGTCAATTCACTTACCTTTGCTCCGCGCGTTCCTCTCGCCGTGTTCCCGCGCCGTTCCGGTCTTCAGGGCGGACTGTGAGAGGAGCCTAGCTCCCCTCACGTTCGTCACGCTGCCCCGCCTACACACATCCTGACAGCCAATGTATCACGCTCCGCGGGCCGGATTAAAAGGTCCGCCGGGCCGTAGTTTGCCCATTGCTGCCCTAGGCCCTTAACTTGCCTTTGGATCATTTGTGGTCCTAACCCCACTATCGATCCTATACTAGGGTGGAGCTCTGACCACATACGTCTCTCCAGACCATGTTCCTCTTCCCTAGGCCATATATCTGAATGTATATGCCACTCCCTATTTCCCCACCTTTCTTTTAAAATGTTGACTTTAACTAGGAGAAGGGGGAGGAACAGGAAGAGAGAGAGATAAAAAAAAAAGAGGAAGACCCCCTATGGGTTTCCAAAAATGTTTTCTCTCATTCCTCCTCCCTATCCTCTATTCGATCTTTGATGCCTTTTCCCCCTAGGGGCTGACTGCCAATTCCCATTTTCTATTTCCCTATTCTCTTTTTACCCCTTTTTCCAGCCTGGAATGTATATTCTCTGTAATTCGAGTCTATCGCAGAAGTCTCTCAGATCTTTTGGAAATCTCAGCTTTGCGGCGGGACTGTCTTTCCATCCTATTAAGCTTGCTGGAAATTCCCAGCTGTATCGTACGGTCTGTTTTCTCATCTGTTCCAGTAATGGTTTCAACATTCTTCTTCTAGCCAATGTTTCCGATGATATGTCAGCAAAGTTCTGTAGATTTGCTTCTCCATATTTTATTACTGGTCTTCCCTTTTATCTTCCTCCATAGCTCCATATTATGTGGGTGGTAATGGAAACGTATGATCACGTCTTTAGGAATGTCTCTTCCATTTCCGCTTCCTTGGGGTCTTCCTATTCTGTGTACTCTATCAATCTTCATGTGTGCTGTTGCTGGTCTGTCTGTATTGTATTACACAATTTCACCATTATCTCCGTTAAGTCTTCTCCTTGCGTGGTCTCCGGTAGGCCCTGTATTCTCAGATTACACCTTCTATCTCTGTTCTCCTGATCTTCCAGTTTATATAGCAGACTCCTTTGCTCTTTTCTCATTTCTTTCATCTGTTTTTCTAATTCTGTTATCACTTGGGCGTGTTTATCCAGTTTCCCTTCAGTCTCCTCTACTCATGATAGAACTTGCCCTGAATCTTTGTGTATTATCGCCATCTCCTGTTTTATGGATCTTTCCAATCTCATAAACATATCTGCTATGTCAGATTTAGTTGGTATCTGCAAAGTCTTTTCTTGCTGTTCAGAGTTCTTGATAACCGACTCATTTTCTGTATCTTCAACTTCTACACTTTGACTGATGTTAACTGCTCCCAGAGACAATCTAGAGTGATAGCCACTGATGTTTTCCATCTCCTGTCTTCCGCTCATTCCTTGTCTCTCTGGGGTTTGTCCCTCCAAGTTCTTTTGTGTAGGTATATATTTTTTAATAAAACCTATTTGGGACAGCTTGGACCCTCCCCCTTTTGCTGCTTTACTTTTATGTTTAAATCTTTTTCTCTTTTTCCCTGGCCTGTGGGTTGCTCTACTGGGCAGGGCTAGGGTTGGGCCTTGGGTCCTTCCTTCTCCCCACGCACCGATCTCCTTCCTAGGGGTCTCTTAGCTCTCCTTCTCATCTATATCTCTATTACTCCTCCTTGGCCCCCTAGGGTGGCCCCCCCCCTTAGACAGTACAAATCCGTTTTAAGTTTTGACTCACCATCCTCTGGCCTTCCTCCTCTCGCGGGGGTCTCCAACGCAATTGAGCGATCGCTGAGAAGCCTCTGAGAAGTTCTGTGGGTGCTAGGCAGTCCTGTAGGATGTGGGTCGCCCACTCCTCTGTGCTCAGCCGTCCACTCATCCTGCCTCCCAGTGCTCCTCTGCGGCGGCGGCCACGTGACCGCCTGACATCCACTGCTCCGGTGGAATTTCGTCTCCTTTCCTGCTCCTCATACTCTGCTTTGTCTCACCTCCACAGCTCGCCCCTTTGCTCAGCAGCACAACAGCCCAGGGATCACCACTTTCCGATTGGACCCCCATAGGGCAGCATCAAAGCCCCGGGTGAGTCACCATCTCCTGGGCTTCTATGTATGGCAGGTCGTAGGGAGCTCCTATTCTATTGTATATTAATTTAAATGGGCTACTATATCCTCTGAAAACCCAATTCAGCTCTCAACCCTTAACCTTTCCTTACTTCTGTCTACAATTTGTCTAGGCCATGTACTTATTAACTTTCAAATCATGCCTCCTGCAGTTCAAAATGTGCTATTGTCACCATAAAATAAAATGATTTTCTGTTGTATTGCTTCAACCACAACTAGTGCCTTGGTGTTCGGATGACTGAACTCCTGTGGCAACTGGAAAAAGCCGGGGAGAAAATGCCATCGAGGGAACATGCAGATGTTGGACAGTTTAGTCCTGCTTTAATTCTGTGGCACTAAAGGGAAAAGAAAAATTATCAACTAACATATAATGTTACAGTTGTATATTGTAGAAGTTGGCAAATGTAGTCATGTACTTAAAGCAGAACTAAACCCATCAATTTAACAGTTTTCCAAAACTGTAACAGTCAAGGCATGCCATGACTGATAACTGTAACAATTGCTTTTTCTCTCAGCTGAACTGTCAAGCCATCAAATGGCTGGTGTCACAATTGATTACATGTGCAACACCATGGCAACTGCAGATCAAACAGAGACTAAGATGGCAGCTTCAAGCCGGTGACTGATCGCTGGGACCCACTGATTGGTTCAGTGATTCATGGAACAAAGCTCTGTGATTGTAAACAACACAGAGCTCTGTAAAGTGACAGGCGCTCTTGCTGTTTTTTTATTTCCTGCTAAGATCCCTTAGTTTTTACTAAGGGATCTTAGCAGGAAATAAAAAAACAGCAAGATATTACACACATTAACTCTTGTTAGGCACACAGTTAACCCCTTCCCAGCCAGTGTCATTAGTACAGTTACAGTGTATAGTATTAGCCTGATCACTGTATAAGTGTCACTATTGATGTCAGTGTCAGTCAGTGTACCCCCCAGCCAGTGTCAGCTAGTGTCAGATTGCCCGCCGCACCACCAAAGTCCCACTATAAGTTGCTGATTGCTGACATTACTAGTATAAAAAAATAAAAATCCTAGTATATATACCATCTTTTGTAGATGCTATGACACACAAACCAATTAATATACACTTAGGATTTTTTACCAAAGACATGTAGCAGAATACATTTTGGCCTAAATTTTATGAACATATTTGATTTTTTTAAATGTTTTATTGGATATGTTTTATAGCAGAAAGTAAAAAATGTTTTTTATTAAATTTTCAGGCTTTTTTCATTTATATAATAAAAAAAATTAAAACCCCAATGGTGATCAAATACCACCAAAACAAAACTCTATTTGTGTGGAAAAAAAATTAAATAAATTTAAATAAGAACATTCTGTCAAAGAGAGTCTCTGGGTGGTAAGAATACTGCCTCCGGCCACAGCTACCTTCATCATCAGACTCCAATCGCTCCTGCTGCAGATAGCATCCTCACAACATGCTGGCAATGTAGGTGGGAGGGACATGGTACTATTAACCACTTCCCGACCGGCCGTTGTATATAAACGGCCGGACGGTGGCAGTACAGGGTCGGGTGGCCGTTTATAAACGGCCTTCCCGCACCCTGCTTGTGCGCGCTCCCTGGGAGCGCGCAGCACCGCGATCCGGTGCCCGCTGTGTCCTCCGGACACAGTGAAACACCGATCATCGGACGGGACCCCTGTACGAGGTCCCGATCATGTGATCACTGATTGGCCAATCAGTGATCACATGCAAAGTAGTAAGCAAGATGTCACTTGTGACATCATTGCTTACTATGTGTGAAATCTGTGAATGATCACAGAGGTCACATGGTACAAGGCTATTCACAAAAGCCTTGTACCATGTGACAAGCTATGACCAATCACAGCTCACTCAGTTCTCTTCAATGAGTGCAAGAATGCACACAGAGAGAAAGAGAAATGATTGCTTTTATATCCTATATGGGTGTAAAAGCAATCGGTGTAAAAAAAAAAAAAAAAAAAAATCTTCATCACCCCTCACAAGTAGTACAGTGTCACCATGGTGACACTGTACTGCTAGGGTGACAGTATGTAAAAAAAAAAATAAAAATAAAAAATAATATAAAAAAAATAAAATAAAAATGTAAAAAAAAATGTTTAAAAATTATAATTTTTGCTTATAAACTAATTTGGATTTTTTTTTTTTTTACTAAAAAGATAACGGAATAAATTTTGGCTAAGATTTATGATGAAATATTATTTATTTGCAAAATTTTATAAAAAAAACTTTTTTTCAAATTTTTTTGACATTTCATTTACATAGCAAAAAAATACAAATCCCAGTGGTGAATAAATACCACCAAAATAAAGCTTTATCTATCTCAAAAAAATGGTAAAAAATTCATTTGGGTACAGTGTTGCATGACCGCGCAATTGTCATTCAAAGTGTGATAGCGCTAAAAGCTGAAAATTGCCCTGGTCAGGAAGGGGGTAAAAGTGTCCGGTCTGGAAGTGGTTAAGTCATACAGGTGACGCAGTGACAATACAAAGTTTGGGAGTGAGGTACACAATTGAATAACATTTGGTAAAACTTTACTGTACAATTGTAATTGTTGTAATTCTCTTTAGGTAATAGTGAATTATTTTTCACAGCATAAAACATTGACAGTTTGTCAATAAAGTATTAAAAATACTGAAAAGTAAGCAATTTATTATCATTTTTGTTTTCAGTTTACATGAACTAGTGAAACATAAAGAAAATGGACTGATCTTTGAAGATTCTAAAGAACTTGCTGAACAGCTAAAGGTAAAAAAAACACACATTTATAAAAATAAAGCAAGAAAGCCTAAAAAAACAAAACAAATGCAGCTACTAAATCTAAGGATTGATAAGCTGCAATATAATGTTTACTTTTGGGATTAATACTGCTTTAAATCAATTAGAACCAAACCATGTATCGTGTCCTACATATGATTATTATCAAATATGCTTTTTACACAAAGATCATAAAATAACATCTACCAATAGTCTTTTTGTGTTTCTCTATTCAGTCTTCTATTTGTTTAAATAGAACAAAATAAATCACCCGTGTGACACTAACGTTTTGGGGCTTCAATTTCTGTGTAAACCACCTTCACCAATCATGGTGACATTGCTCTCAGCATCCTGTGTAAATTCTGTAAAATGCCTAAGATAAAGCAGAGGAGAAGACCATGGCCAATGGCAGGAATTCAAGCAGAGGACAAAAAATCAGGCTGTCATTGTGAGGTCCTGCACTGCAGGCAGTGCCTGGACAGCTAGTGGATCATAAGCTAGAGGCACCATCACCAGCTCAATTTGTGAAGAGTTTGAGGTCCCAAATGTATTGCAATGTGAAAGTAACAGTTCTGTAAACAAGGTTAGGCCTTGAATATTCATGAAACCAGCAGCTGATAGCAGGAGAGGTTTTGAAGTGCCTTGCTAAACCTTACTGCATTCAGTGAAGTCTCTCTGGGCTGGACAGTATTTTAATGAGTCACTTGGGCAACACATTCTGACACTGTTGTAAAGGAGAACATTTAATTAATATTAGGCTGAATTTCAGTAAGTTGATAATTTTTGCAGCACCTACCTTTTTAAAGCTGAACTTAGGTAAAATAAAAAGTTACCCTTACAGTGGGGCTTCTCCCACACTGCAAGGGTTAAATGATTGTTTAGGTGGCAAAACTATTTTACTTATCCATCTGGGTTGTGGGCAGAACCTTTTTGTTCTCACATTCAAAGCAGGACTGCTGGTCCTACATTGTACGTGATGCCGTCAGAAACCGGCTGACACTAGAGTGAAAAATCCAGCTACAATTGCCTCCCTTCTTAAACGTTGATAAAAGATAACTGCCATGCAGGTTGTGCATTCTTTTCAATGAACCAGCGAAAACATGGGGGTTGATTTACTAAAACTTGAGAGTGCAAATCTGGTGCATAGAAACCAATCAGCGTCCAGGTTTTATTGTTAAAGCTTAATTGAACAAGCTGAAGTTAGAAGCTGATTGGCTACCATGCACAGAAGCACCAGATTTTTTACTCTCCAGTTTTGGTAAATCAACCCCATATCCTTGCAGTTTGACAAGGCGTAGTAAGGTTTGATTACTGTGTAACAATGCAAAGCTGCCGTTTATGCATATGTAATGAGCAAAATGGTGGTTTATATTAGTTCTCATCTTTTTTTTTTTTTTTTTTTTTTTACAGATATTATTCACTAATTTTACAAGTGACTTGGGTGAACTGAAGCAATTTCGGCAAAATCTCAGAGAATCTAAACAAATGCGTTGGGACGAAACCTGGGACCAAACTGTTCTTCCACTCTTTAAAGGAAACTAAAACTTATTTTTTTGTATTCTGAAATATTTGTTCTACGTTATTATGTATGCACAACAAATAAAGTGCATCTCCTAGGAAAAACGTTTTTTTTTGTGTTTTAGATAGATTGGGGGTCTATTTTATTACTGTCTGTGTCCCCATTGGGAAGATTCACCATATTTGTACTTGTGACCAAAGGGAAATCTTCCAGTGGAGACACCTGTTCCAGGAACATCTGCCTAAGAGGGAAAATTCCCTTGTTTTAGGTGATTTCCTGTACCTTCTATTGCATCTTTGGGACAGGAAGTGAAGGGAATGTTTTCCCAATGGTACGCAAAAAAATAACCTGATGGGATTTAATCCTTCCCTACTCTTGAAAACTAAAAAATAAGTTTGAATATACAAACAGTAACCTGTAAGCTAATGTTGCTTTCTCGATTAGTAGATACATAAATTAATATATACGCTGCTGAGGTTCTTATTACAGCAGAATATTTTAGAAATTCATCAGTTTAAATAAATGGAGGGAGGGAAGCATTTGATATTTTATATAAATAAATAAATAAAAATGATATAGGAACAACTTGCCTACATTGTTTTACATTCACACATAACTGCACTGCATTACATCACATCACACTAATACATAAAACACCTTTGTTGCTTATATTCTGGTCACATTGTTCTTTAAGGTAAATACATTTTTCATTAAAGTGAAACTGCACAGACGCAAGAACAAGGCAAAAAAGCCTGGCTTTGTATTGAGGGTTGTTCACACCAATGTGCTGTGGTGTGCTTTGTGATATGATGCAGGTGCCCAAATGGGTCTTCTGAATTTGGGTGTCCTTGCCCCAGTCCCTGTAGTAGAATGGTTACAGTTTTATTCCAACCTTTCATTGTTTTCAGTGGAACTAAAAACTCTAAGGAGTTGATTTGCTAAAACTGGGTGCAGCTGTGTATGATACCCAATCAGCTTCTAACTTCAGCTTGTTCAATTAGGCATTGCCAAAAAAACCCAAAAAACAGGAAGCTGATTGGTTTCTTTGCAAAGCTGCACCAGATTTTGCACTCTCCATTTTTAGTAAATCAACCACTCAATGTTGATTCAACCTCAGAAGTTCCGTATGGAATCCCACAGATCTGTCATTGCTTTCCTACACCAGGGAGGCTTCTTGGCTTCTTTGGACATCAAAGGTGCTTACTTGCATGTCCCCATCTTCCCAGCACACCAATGATTTCTATACTTTTTTGTGAGTCCTCTGCACTTTCAGTTTACGGCCCTGTCATTCAGTGTTTCTTCTGCATCTCAGGTGTTCACCAAAGTACTGGCTCTAGTGCCAGCCTTGCTGCTCTCTCACTGTATAAGTGATTACATGCAAATGAGTACGATTAGCTGCAAGAGCCGACAGCCTCCCATTGCTTTCAATGGTGCAGCTGACTCACTGCTAATCACAGGAACCCCTGCTGCGGATCTCACATGTAATTGCAGGCAGGGTGCATTCACAAGTGTGAATGTACCCTTAAAGAGGAAGTTCACCCTGTGCATGCAATTGACTTAAGCCAACCATACATTGATTGATTGAAATTTGGCCATTTGAGCAGGGACCAGTCGAATGTTGATCCAAGTATAGATTAGCTGGTTGTACCCAAGTTAATCTGTTGATTGACAGTTGTTCCCACAGCCTGTTCGGTTTTTCCAGTGTCCCCAGTTAAAGCCGGCAACTCTGATCATTGTATTCTGCTGGCAGGGAAGACTCCCCGGTGGCATGATGATTCCCTTATCCACCTAAGATGTATGGATGGGGGAAGCAGCACTTTTTTTTGTTCAACCAGCTGGCTGAACGAAATATAAAAATAATATAGTATGGCCTGCCTAAGAAACTGCAAATAAATCCTAGTTCCCTTCCAAATGCATCCCTGCAAGTTTAAATGCTGTCTGTTTCTATTCCTGTACTATTGGCCTTTGAAGCTGCCATATGTTTCCAGCCACACCAAGCCTCCATGGTGTGCTTCGACCCCTATTCTCTGCCTTTGATCTGTGCTGCGGAAGGAGGGAGCTTCCATACAGCTCAGATCAATCACTGATAGTGGACAGATTGGATCCCTGCTCAGCCAACACATGCAGAGTACCGTGGGAAGCAGCTGTTAGGAAACCTCTCGTGGTGTGCTGCTCCCCTCCAGCCCCTTCTTTCCTCCCATCCATCCCAGGTGCCTCTATCTAACATCACCTGGGACGGACAATTAAAAGGAGGGTCCAGTGGAGAGTATAGCACCCTGCTGTGTGCCCTGTAATGCACTATGCTGTGGCCCACTGATGCACCCTACCACCATGCAATATGCCCTGCTGTGCCTCATAATGTGCCCTCTTGCCCCTATGTGATATGCCCTGCTGTGCCCCATAACATGCACTCTTGCTCCTATATAATATGCCCTGCTGTGCCCCATAATGTGCCCTCTTTCTCCTATGTAATATGCCCCATAATGTGCCTTCTTGCCCCCTTGTAATATGCCCTGCTGTGTTCCCATAAGACCGTAATGTGCCCTGTTGCCTCCCCCCCCCCAATAACGTGCTCTGCGGTGATCCATAATGTGCGTCAAATGATGTCCTCCCAGGAGGCACTCCCTGCGTGCCCCCAGCGGCCCACACCCAGCCTTTTGCCATGTGATCAGCTGTGTCCAATGACACAGCAGATCACTAATTAAATACAGTTGCCAGTTATCGGCAGCACTTTCCTCACACTGTCACAGCATGAGGAAAGTACTGCCAATAACCGGCAAATGTCAGAGGACATCCGCACTGATAATTGGGGCACTGATTACACTGTTCAACAGGTAAAAAGTTTTGGGCATAAAATTAGCTAATCTTACATAATTTTGGGGTGCTGAAAACGAAAATGACCCTAAAAAATGTTGATTGGCTCTAGTTTCCATGATATATTCACCCATCTAATGACGTAAGCCATTCAAAATTATGATGCAACTTCAGCTGCATATTGCGCAATTGATACTGGTGACCAATAGAAAATTGCATGTATACTGAGATGATGCAATATTAGCCTTTAATTGCATCACTTCACTGCATAAAAAGCTGCAGTATCTGTAGCTGATTGGAGTTCGTCTTTACATTTCGTTTTATGCTTATATAGGCTCCTCAGTAATGCCTCGAACTTGTGTGAATAAAGCAGATAATTTCTGCTATATCTGCGGTGAAATAACTTTTATCTCACAAAAAAGGAGGATAACAGGAATGATTAAGAAAGCCTACAACTTGTATTTTGGCTGCAAGATAGGAGACCAGGACAAGAGCTGGGCACCACATATATGCTGCAATTCTTGTGGGACGGCACTGGAGCAATGGTTGAATGGAAAAAAGGCATCTATGCCTTTCGCTGTGCCAATGATTTGGAGAGAGCCAACAGATCATGTTAGTAATTGTTACTTTTGTATGGTGCCTCCAATTGTAAAAGGGCTAAATAAGAAGAAAATGTTATCTGTGCGCTATCCAAATATTCCATCGGCAATACGTCCAGTTCCTCATGGAGAGGGGCTACCAATTCCTAAAGCACCAGAATCCTTCGTGGTTGAGTCAAGTGAGGAAGAACCTGAAGCGTGTAGTCACGTGCAGTTGTAAGAGATAGCCCTTTCCTCGAATACAAGAGAAAAGCCAAGAGAAGCAAAACCGACACAAACTGAAGACAAAACTAGTGAGAATCCTAAGTATTAAAATGATTCAACTTAGCTTATGGCTATCATTTTTCTTGGTAATCCTATGCAATATATTATGCCATTTAGGCTTTGTTATGTAGTCAATATCACTTGCTTTATATTTGTGGAAAGACATCTATCTATATAATTATTGTGCATTATGTAGTCATTACGCCTATAGTAGAAAACTTTCCGTTTACAGAAAAACTAGAGCCAATTGACAAATTTCATTGTTATATTTGAACTCAGAATGTGAAATTCATTAAGAAATGGATCCTTTTGTTTCCAAAACTGGCAAAAAATAAAAATTTGTTGAACAGTGTTATCGATGCCCTGATCATCCATGCCCAGTAGTGCCACGCATCAGTGCCACTGATCAGTGCTACACAGCAGTTGTGCCCATCAGTGCTGCCAGTCAGTGCCCATCAGTGCAGCAGCATCAGTGCCTCCTCATCAATGCCACCTCATCAGTGCAGCCTATCCGTGCCAATTAGTGCAGACACATCAACGCACATCAGCGAAGGAGAAAAATTACCTGTTTTGCAAAACTGTATAATAGAAACAAAGAAAAACGTTTTTTATTTTTTGCTATTTTTTTGTTTATAGTGAAAAAAAATAAAAACCCCAGAGGTGATTAAATATCACCAAAAGTAAGCTCTATTTGCGGAAAAAAAAAAAATGTTATATGGGTATGTTGCATGACCGCGCAACTGTCATTCAAGTGCAACAGCACTGAAAGCTGAAAATTGGCCAGGGCACGAAGGAGGTAAAAGTGTCCATTAGGCAAGTGGTTAAATAGGTAAGTTGTAATATTCTATTTTTTAATGCCATTTCTAAAAATGATTGTTATATCAACAGCTCACTGAGCACACCAATGTATTGTGAGCTGTAGATCTGAACAGTATTTCAGGGCATCCCTGAGTTCTCAAACCTTTTGCCAAGGGTTAGTCCAAGGTAAAAAGGCTGACTAACCCTGATTTATTGGATCACCAGCTTAAAATCTCCACCTCTCTGAATACTTGGCCTATCGTGAAACTCCCAGTTCTGGACCTCCGGAGGATCCATCCTCGCAGTTCATGCCCGGGAGCAGCCAATACGGCGGTGCCCATAGACTATCTGTGAGAAGAGACGGCGGAGTGTCCAGGGCAGGATGGAGCTACAGAGCCTGTGACTGGTGGGAGTCCCTGGGAAAGAAGAGGACACCAAGCTCAGTGACTGTAACCTACCAGCTGCCTTCATGAAGAAGAGACATGCTGAGATCAAGGGCTGCAAATCCCTAGCCCAGAGCTGGAGGATGAAGAATCAGATGAGAGAGACACTGAGGACACCACTGGGGGGAGGGAAACTGAAGAATAAGTGAATAGAACCCTCTTTATATCCTGTGACCCCCATCTGAGTTCACAGTTTTTCATTTCATTACGGTAATTTGGTTTATTATTTTGTTATTGCTTCAGAAATGTGAATATAGTTTGTCAGTTTCAAAAGGCCTAGATGTGTTTTATTTTGTGCCATTTTAAAATCTGCAATTTATTTGTCCCCAAATATTTATTTTTGTTCCTTATCTCCTCTAAATTGTGTTCTGCTTTTTAATCTTGTATCCTATAGCTCACTCCGGATTTTTTTTTTCGGTACATTTTGGAAATGTACCATTGTTGGACTTTCTTTAATGTAAGGTTATTTTGTCTTTATTTTATTAACTTAATAAACATTTATTTTGAACATAGTGTAGAGAAGTTCTGTGAAAAATGCATGTAATGTGGGCAGTACAAAATATAGGGGGGGTGTTGTGTGGGTGTGGTGTTGTCAGTTCGCCCGTTCCACACATGGAAAATTATCAGACTTCAGCCAGCAGTGTCTGTACTCAGAACAATAGTTGTTACATCCAGAAGTGTTTTATGTCCTGCACCACAGGCAGGGAACGCTATATGTGGACCTCCAGATTCAACAAACTGTTTTGTTTTTGCCTCCAGGTGCAGGGATACTCTTGTGATTCTTTCCTCATTTACTCCACAGGATTGAGATGGAGGGCACCTGGCATTCCTCATAGAACTGGCTCAGCCAGGTGTGGTACTCTGACCTGATCAAACTTTTGGCAAACACCCACTGGGCTCTTCCAGATCTCCTGTCTCATGGACAGGTTTAAAGTCTGGCTTCATGGTTGGCAGCTTTAACAGCATAGTTGTTGAATCCCAGGGCCTGAGGTCTCTGATTTGGTAATCCCAAAGCTGTTTAAACTAGGAAGTGTACTTCCTGTAAGGCAGGGGTGCCCAGCCTTTTGACTTTCCTGGGCCACAATGTAAGAAAAGGAATTGTCTTGGGCAACACAAAATACAGTAACAATATAGATAGCCGCTGAGCAGAAAATGCATGTGTTCGCGAAGGGTAAATGCATTTTTTTTTTTTTAAAATAATTTTTAAGTAAGTTTATGATTTTGTGTTGGGCTGCATGTTAGACATCCCTGCTGTAAGGTCTACCACTCCACAAGGAAGGCTATTGCAAGGTGCAAGGAAATTAGATTTCACCCTAGCAAATACTCCATGATGGAGCATATGACTTTTTTGTAATTAGGTCTGGATAAGCATTTGGTTTTGAGTACTATCAAGGGGCAAATATCAGCTCTGGAAATTTAATTCCAAAGACCATTAACCTTCCATTCATTGACATTCATGCAAGACTTTTGTAAAGGGTGTCTCATGCAGCCCCTGGTTTTGACTCAGTAGGATTTAAAATGCATTCTGTTTGCACTTTAAAGTCTACACCAACCTGCCATAACGTTTATGATCACTGACAGGTTAGGCAAATAACATTGATTATCTTGGTACAATGGTATGGAAAAGTTGGTGGTATATATTAGCCAGGAAGTAAACAAGTTACTGAAGTTGTGTTAAAAAGTAGAAAAAAAGGATATCAGTTTGTCGTGTATGGAGCTGCATAGCTACAGATCACTCAGGCGCCCATGCTAACCCATGTCCAAAAGCAGCTACAATGGGCATGTGAGTATCAGAACTGGACCACAGGGCATTGGAAGAAGGTGGCTTAGTCTGATGAATCACATTTTTTTTTACATCATGTGTATGGCTGGGTGAGTGTGCATCACTTACCAGGGAAAGAAATGACAGGACAATGTAGTATGAGGAGGTGACAGTGTGAGGCTTTGGGTAAAGTTCTGCTGGGAAACCTTGAGTCTTGACATTCGCGTGAATGTTACTTGACATGTACCACCTTACCCAAACTTTGTTGCTGACCAAAACACACCCAGTCCTGTAAATTGTATTCTCTCATGCCAGTGGTCTCTCCTAGCAGGAAAAGAATGGTTCAACAGTTGTGTCCCAGATTTGCAAGCCTGCCACCTGAGCTTTAGTGCCAACATTCTCCAAGTACTACCAGGTAGATGTTCAGGCCTCCTATGATGCCAGCTTTGGAAGTAAGGTCTTTCAGTCAGCCCCCAGATTGTGTTTGTTCTTTTTAACCACTTCCATGCCACCCTATAGCAGAAATACAGGTGCGCAAAATCACATATACACATGCACGCTATCAAAACTAGTGTGTGCTGTATCTAGCCTCCAGCATTGTTCCTGTTTCTTCTTGCTGGAGGTTGCCATTTTGCTGAAGCCAAGAACCCATGAACAGCAGGAAACCTTTAGGCTGTTAGCAGATTGCCCTTTATATTTTGTCACAGTGCCATAAAATAGAGAGCAACTGAGCATGTGCAACACAGGGTGAGACAGTGTATTACTGGATTTTAAATAGTATAGGCACGGTAGACAAGTGGTTAAAATCAATCTTTACTAAATATAGAAAATATGTACAAAAACACCACTATTTTAATATTTACATTTTTAATGAAACCTGAAGAATCTGTACTGTGCAGTTTGCTTCATATACAAAAATATTTTTTTTGTGATCAGCGACGGTTTGCCACTTCAGCCCAGCCTCATCTACAGGGACAAAAATAATGAATAAACACATGAATGAAAATATGTACATATAAAATGACACACCTGTAATGAAAGACATGGGTCAGATATCTTATATGTACTATCAAACACAACAAACACTTCACTCCTGCGCTAGGAATGGACTCAGTAGACCCAATAGGAATGTTCTGGAATATGCACTACTTGCTGCCCTCAACAGACCGAGGTGGTCCGAATACACTGGATACAAATGGAGAAACAGAAAAAGGGCACACCGACCTAGTGCATTATCGTTTAAAATAATTTATTAAAGAAACAAAAATAGGTATCATGCTCACAATGGACATAATAACACAGGCATGTCAAACTGAACAAGATGTATGTTCTGAGTCCATACGATGGAACCTTGGATGACCAACTGGCTAACGCGTTTTGAGGACACAACCTCTTCCTCAGAGCCAACTGAGGTTTGTTGTTTGGATCATACATCTTGTTCAGTTTGACATGCCTGTGTTATTATGTCCATTATGAGTATGATACCTATTTTTGTTTCTTTAATAAATTATTTTAAACGAAATGCACTAGGTCGGTGCACCCTTTTTCTGTTTCTCCATTGGTATCTTATATGTACTCACAGACAATGCTAGCTGCTGCCTGTCATGCTGATTCAATACCTCTAAAACTCGGAGTCCCTGACTTGGAATAGGTATGCCGTTAAATGCAAATCTCACTGTCAGCAATCTGGGTTAAGGAGTAAAAAAGGACTACAATCATAGCATCAGCATAACAGCGTAAGGATTTGCTGCAAGGATACATCTATTAAACACTGACATAAAGGGGATCTATACTTATGCAGATTTTGTATTTTGGTTTTGTAAGTAATTTAAACTACTTTGCAGATATATGTTGTTATTTTGACGCCAAGGCGTCAACATGCACAAAAATCAAGCTTTAAGGTTCTATGACAAAAAAAAAAAAAAAAAAAAAAAAAAAAAAAAAAAAAAAAAAACTTAACTGCCAAAAAGGATAAATATTTTTTATAGGAACTGTAAATGAAACCTATCAACCACCCCAATAAAAAAAATTCCAACCATTTTAAGAAGCGAGAATAGTTAGGTTAATATGATAATGTAATATGGCAGCTTGTAATGTAAAGGAAATATTGCTCTGGTTAATGAGCGACTTCAGCATAAACATACCTAGTTTTGTTTGAAACAGTTTGTAGGTTTCTGAGTTGCGAACTGTAGAAGCTACAAAGATATCCAACCACTTTTCAGCTTTTTTATAGAGGAGAAGCTTGCATAGGGTATTTGAGAATGAGGTTATTACATCAGGGTCATATACAACATCTGAAAGCCACAAAATAAATTAATGTAAGTGGTTTTAATATTAGAACACATTAAAGCTCTCTTTTTTAAACATGCAGCTCTTTTTTTCTATAAGCACACATGGGCAGCTTTACATTATTGGGTGAAAAGAGCCCAAATACAATGCAACCTAAAAACTATGTATTTAAGGTGGCTTACATAGATCCAATCCTAACTGTATTCTTAAGTACTTGATATGCATATTTTAAATGTTCAAGTGTCTTTCAACATTTCTTCTTGTATTTGATGCCCACCTTAAAGTGATTGAAAGGCCCACATTTTTAAAAAAATTAAAATAACCACACGTCATACTTACCTGCTCTGTGTGTTGGTTTTTGCACAGAGCAGCCTCTATCCTCCTCTCATCGGGGTCCCCTGCCACTGGCTGACAGCACTGGTTCGAGATCAGGCTCAGGTAAGTATTAAGGGGGGGGGGGGGTAAAGAAACCTTAAGGCTTTAGAACAACTTTAAAGTGATTCTAAAGGTTGTTTTTTTTAACGTATTGGAGGGGGGTGCATTAAAGGTAAAGAAACCATAAAACTTTAAAACCACTTTAAAGTGATTCTAAAGGTTGTAATTTTTTTTTTAAATAACACGTTATACTTACCCGCTCTGTGCAGTGGTTTTGTACAGAGCAGCCCTGATCCTCTTTTTTTTTTTTTTTGTTTGGTCCCCCATCGGCAGTCCTGGCTCCTTCTCCCTGCCAAATGCCCCCGATTGCAAACCTCTTGCTATGGGGGCACTAGAGCAGGTTCGCTCCTGAGTTCCACTCCTGTGAATGGACATTGTCCATTCACAAAACAGAGCGTGGCTCAGCCCTGTCCACCTCTCATTACTCATTGGCTCACTGGCTGTGATTGACAGCAGCAGCAGCAATGGCTCCTGCTGCTGTGTGAGCCATTGAGGAGAGAAATTCTGAAGGACCCTCTGCACACTGGTATATACCCTTTCAAGCAAACTATGCAACAAATAGGGATATTTGGTTCACACATATTGCAATACATGCTTAAGCTGGCCAACTGCGTCAAAGTAATCCCTCTATGGCCAGTCCTACTCTGCCCTGCCCACGCAAGTGCTACTGTGGACACAATGCTAACATAGGGGAAAAGACACAATGGGGAGAGCTACAAGGTCCAATGAGGAGAGAGAGACCCCGTAGAGCCCCTGCTATCATGCACATGGCTGGAGCGGGATGGGGCTCAGGCAAGTGTAAGAGGGGGCTGAAGGGGGAACTGCACCCAGGTTTCTTACCTTAATGCATAGAATGCATTAAAGTAAAAAAAACCTGCTGCTTTTAGAATCACTTTAAAGGACTTATAGCAGAATGTTGTTGATAATTATTATATACTTTTTATGTGTAGACTATCAATTGATCTCCTACAACAACATGGCAAAAAAATGCAATTTCCATGTAACCTAATCAGTTTTCATAGTAAATACTTAGTTATCTTTTTTGTTTGCATTCTATTGTATTACCTGCTGCAATGATCACATCAGTATCAATGTGTGAAAGTTGCCCTTCTGTAACAGACTCCCAATCCAGTTCTAAAACGGACATCTGAACAGTGTCTGAATCTTTTACTCTTTCAGGTTTTTCTGTGTAATCATCTTCATCAGTAAGCACAAAACCATTCAAGTGAATATTTTCTCTGAGCTTTGAAAGCACCTTCTGGTGACAATCACTGAACACGTATTTCTTAGGGCAACAGCTCTTGCATATAACCATTCCTGTCAGTCCAATTCCACTTCCAAGCTCCAATATGATCCTGGAAAAAAAACCTACCTATACCATTAAAGAATTCACATTTTCTCCATAATATACACATATATTCTCCAGAACTACATGAAGTTTTCTTGATTAAAATTATAAAAGTATAAAAAAGCTGAACGTTCACCTTTACAGAAAAAAAAAAAAATGTAAAAAGGTGAACTAACACCATACACCCTCCCTGCTTCCTCCCTCACCCTTGGTCCTGTCAGTCCAATTCCACTTCCAAGCTCTAATATGATCCTGGAAAAAAACAACAACAAAAAAAAAACTACCTATACCATTAAAGAATTCACATATATTCTCCAGAACTATATGAAGTTTTCTTGATTAAAATTTCAAAAAAAAATATGAAAGCTGAACGTACACCGTTAGTTCACCTTTACAGAGAAAAAAAAAAAAAAAAAAAAAAAGATAAATTGACACCATAAACCCTCCCTGCTTCCTCTCGCACCCCTGGTCCCCAATGTACAGTTGCAAGAAAAAGTATGTGAACCCCTTGGGATTACGTGGAGTTTTGCATGAATTGGGCATAAAATGTGCTCTGAACATCATCTAAGTCACAACAATAGAAGAACACAGTCTGCTGAACATAATACTACACAAACATTAGATGTTGCCATGGTTTAATTGCACATAACATGTAAACAATCACAGTGCAGGGAGGAAAAAGTATGTGAGGCCCTAGCTTAATGACTTCTCTCAGAACTAATTGAAGCCAGGAGTGAGCCAACCTTGACTCCAATCAGTGTGATGATATTGGATGTGTTGCTGACAGCTGTCCTGCCCTTAAAAAAAAAAAACACACCTGTTTTGGATTTACTGGTTTCAAGAAGCACTGTCTGATGTGAACCATGCCTCGCAGAAAAGAGCTCTCAGAAGACCTACGATCAAGAATTGTTGACTTGCATGAAGCTGGAAAGGGTTACAAAAGTATCTCCAAAAGCCTTGATGTTCATGTGTCCACGGTAAGACAGACTGTCTACAAATGGAGAAAGTTTAGCACTGTTGCTACTCTCCCTAGGCGTGGTCGTCCTGTAAAAATGACTGCAAGAGCACAGCGCAGAATGCTGCATGAGGTAAAGAAGAATCCCAGAGTGTCAGCTAAAGACCTACAGAAATCTCTGGCACATGCCAACATTTTTGTTGACACATCTACAATGAGGAAAACATTAAACAAGAATGGTGTACATGGGAGGACACCACAGAGGAAGCCATTGCTGTCCAAAAAGAATATTGCAGCACGTTTGAAGTTTGCAAAAGAGCACCTGGATGTTCCACAGCACTACTGGCAAAATATACTGTGGACAGATGAAACCAAGATTAAGTTGTTTGGGAAGAACACACAACACTATGTGTGGAGAAAAAAAGGCACAGCACACCAACATCAAAACCTCATCCCCCAATGTAAAACATGGCGGAGGGAGCATCATGGTTTGGGGCTGCTTTGCTGCCTCAGGGCCTGGACGGATTGTTGTCATTGATGGGAAAATGAATTCCAGAGTTTATCAAGACATTTTGCAGGAAAACGTATGACCATCTGTCCGCCAACTGAAGCTCCGCAGAGGATGGGTGATGCAACAGGACAATGACCCAAAGCATACAAGTAAATCAACAAAACAATGGCTGCAACAGCACAGAATACGCCTTCTGGAGTGGCCCAGTCAGAGTCCTGACCTCAACCCAATTGAAATGCTGTGGCATGACCTTAAGAGAGCGATTCACACCAGACATCCCAAGAATATTGCTACACTGAAACAGTTTTGTGAAGAGGAGTGGTCCAAAATTACTCCAGATCGTTGTGCAGGTCTGATCTGCAACTACAGGAAATGTTTGGTTGAGGTTATTGCTGCCAAAGGAGGGTCAACCAGTTATTAAGTCCAAAGGTTCACATACTTTTTCCTCCCTGCACTGTGAATGTTTACATGTTATGTGCAATTAAACCATGGCAACATCTAATGTTTGTGTAGTATTATGTTCAGCAGACTGTGTTCTTCTATTGTTGTGACTTAGATGACGTTCAGAGCACATTTTATGCCCAATTCATGCAAAACTCCACGTAATCCCAAGGGGTTCACATACTTTTTCTTGCAACTGTACATACCTCTGGTGACTGTGAGCTGTCAGTGAACATGCAGCCAGTTCAATGAATCACTGGATGCATGGGCATTGATAGCTTAGCATCACCAAAGGTAAGTACAGCAGGAACTAGAGGGCGGGGAAGGTGTATGATGTTTGTTCACGTTTACAGAAAGTATCATCAAAATTTAAAATCATATTAATTTCCACATTGTATTTCATTTATTTCCAACCTACTCCTATTAATCTGAATGCTTATGAAGTTTGCAAACTTACTTTGTGAAGCTCCCCATTCCTTTACTTCCTTGATTTCTGTGACACTTCTCCACAATGCCCTGTGGGTAGGCACTGCTGTGTCACAGAATTCACAGAGCCTGTCTTCTGAACTACAGGAGGAGGTTCAGGATGCAGAGTCAGTACAGGGGTCACAGCTTGCAGGCAGTAAGGTAACATGGAATATGTAGTCATTAGAAATGGAAAAAAAAAAAAACAGAAGCTGTAAAGCATGCAGGGATTCCAGGTAGTTGTGGAAAGAAATGACCAGCAAACAGGTAGCAACCTGAAGGGAGATATTTCAAGTAATCTTAAGTTGGATAGACAAAAATAACTATTGTTTGTATTGCTATTATAATACTGATGTTATAAAACTAAATGCTGTATGCTGCAACCATAGCCATTTATAGTAGGAGTAATTATTTTTAAAACTTGCAATGGGCCAGCTTGGCCTAAGATTGGATGCCTACTTGATAAGAACTTGAAAAGGTATAGGAGTACCAGGAAGTGGACTTGCAAAGCAGGGACAGAGAGGTGCCATAATGCACAGGAAAGGAACACCCACCAACCTGAAGGAGTAAGCACGTAAAAGAGCAGGAGGAGTTTCATCCTTTAGAGTGTAAGCTCTAGCAATGAGTTGTCATATTCATTCATTGATGGTGGACTTTGAAGTATGATGTCCCTAGCAAGGCCCTAGGCATAGGATGAATACGGAGTCAGTCTTCCTGGTGGGGTTAGATAAAAATAAAAATTTTCTGGAATGGCCAAATCATCATAAATTGCCAATTCTATTTGTTTGTAAATAGGGAATTACTATTTAGATTTGGTAAAAAAAAAAATTAAATCACTAAGAAACTCTAGCCATTTATTCCCAGGTACCAAAGATATATTGGATATTTTGTATGAAAAAAACATCACAAATCACACTAATGTTTGCGGCCAGGGTTGGGGTTTTTATAAAAAGCATCAGATTATCAAAAAAAGAACAATTTTATTACCGCATCAAACCTGCACCAAAAATGCAGCAAGCAGGATTTTAAAAAATGCACCTGACCCACAATGGATCATTGTCAAGGGCTCCATAGTAATACATGGTTATGGGCTTTTCTTCCACTTTTTAAAAGTAATAGCAGAAGAAAAACAGTGCAAAATCAGCCTTACTATTCTGATGTCAACACAAAACTTGGGATTTTCTTTTACTTTTAATGGGAAAAGTAAAAAACAGGACACAGAGAGGATGAAACTCCCAAAAGGGGGCACAGAAAACAAAAAACATACAGGTGTTCTATCCCTTCTCAATTCTACCCAGAACAAAAAAAAATTAAAAAAAAAAAAACATTTTGCCTTTAGTTACATTTTAATGGAATTGCACAAGTCTTACTTACAGTCAGTTTACACAGCCATAAAAAAACACCAGGAAAAACGTAAACAGGTGTAAATGCATCTTGTTTTGTTTTTGTGGCAAATAGTTATAAAAAAAGGCTTGTTAGGGCATAGAAAAAAAATATTACCGATTTCTGAAGATATCAGCATTTTCAATAGCCCATTCTGCTAAGAAGAGAGCAGCTTCCCATGTCACTAAGCCTGTAGTCCCTTCTGAAATGATTGCTGGGCTTTCACATAGTGTCAGAGTGCCCCCTTTTGGGCTGCAAAGGAAATAACCAGCTGTCAATGTTTTCATAGTCACAATAACTCATGTTGAAAGCACCATATTCTGAAAAAAAGTCATAGGGTCTGGTTTACTGTGCAATTATTGTATTCATTTTTTTTTTAATTTAACAAGTTCACCCCTGCTTTCTACTCATGTTACATAGTCCCAGTGGGGGAAAAAGAATACTTCCAGATACCCCATAAGTCAATCGGATATTCCCTGGATCAACTATCTCTGTCATCATTACCTCCAAATATTAATATCCATTTACATTTTGTGCATTTAGAAATGCATGCAGACTTTTTTTTTTTTTTTTTTTTTAAACAATCTACTGAGTTGGCCAGAACTACTTCTTGAGGAGTCTATTCCACATTTTCACAGCTCTTGTATATGAAGATGCCTTTTCATATGTGAATGTTAAATCTCTTTTCCTCCAGGCGCAAAGAGAGCTCCCTTGTCCTCTATAATGACATGAAAATGAATCGATCTACACAAAGTTCACTATATGGACCATTTATGTATTTACACATGGTGACCCTATCCCCCTAATCTTCTCTTCTCAAGAGTTATTCTCTCTTGCTAATCTATTCTTCAGAGCTGAGCTCCTCCATGCCTCTTCCCAGTTTGGTTGCCCTTTCTCCATTTCACTCATATCCTTTTTGTAAAGTGATGTCCAAAACTAAACTGCGAAACAAAAAAAAATTATTTGACTTGACATTTTTCATTTTTACAATTAAAGTAAAATGTATTTTTCCTACTGAATTTTGTCTATGCATAATACATTCTCCAGTAATCCTTCTTACACCCCCCAATTCATTCTTTAATATGCTTGAAATGCAGCTCACTGATATTTGATGAGTGGCAACTCCGATTTTCCCAATCCTAGACCTCCTCTTCTGTACATACATGGTCCAGACTCCATTTGAATGGGAACCTGGCCAGCTGTGTAATTTCTATTAAAGTAAATGGAGGTTAAAGGCTATACAGGTACCAAGGACGAGATGCAGGACTGGGAGGAGCTTGAAAAGGTGATGCACATTGGTGCTTCGCCTACAAAGATCTTTGAGAGTTACATTTTTGGTGTTGTATAATGCCAGGGAGCACAGTGGATCCTGAGAGGAGTGCATTATTCCTTACTTTATTACCTTTTTACATGTGCAACCTCCAAATTTGTTTCGCTACACTTGATGAAGCAAAAGGGAAAAACGAATATAAAAAGAGTGCAGAATTATAATTCCGTAAGGGGATATAAAAAAAAATTCCCCACAAGAAGACCATCTAAAAAAAATATTTTTTTTTTCCTTGGGGTACTTGAACCACTTTTTTTAAGAGCCTTTTTTTTCAGATTTTGCATGATAAATGCACATTTTAGGTCTGAAAGTTAGTTAAAACCTACAAACATATTTTTCTGAAAGCAGAGACCCTGGAGAATGAATTGGTGATTTGTTTTTATGTTACATGTTATTATTGTACGTTACCTTCTGTGGTGTGTTGAAGTGATCGGGTGACTGTAAATCACTTCCACTTGAATAAAGCAGTTCCAGCTGCTACAGCAGCTTGGACTGTTATTAAAATACCATTCTATCAGCTGTTTTTTTTTTGTTTTTTTTTTATAACCCGTGCTGGTAGAGAAGTGGTTAAGGGACCCAGGATGAAGTAAATAATTGGGTTCTGCTGCTGTCTTCAGGAAGCTGGCAATAAAAGCTGGAAAAAAAAAAAAAAAAAAAACACAGCCCAAAAAACCCTCACAGCATGCAATAGAAACATAGGACCAGAGGGGAGAAAGCTGTGTCCTTCAATGTACTCCAAGAAAAGAATTTAAGGGCAAGTCAAAAATCCTATTTTCTTAATCATACATTAAAAGACAGGGGACTAAATATTCAGGTACATTGAAATGTCCAAAAGCAGTTCAACTGAGAAGTGGACAATAAAGCAAATGAAAGGTTAACAGGTCCACAAAACCAATAGCTTAACAGAGGTGGCTGAAAAGAGCCAACCTGAAGAACCTTATGACCAAAGCTACATTCCGCTGAGAACTGAATGTCCAGCTAGTAAAATGATAACAAGAGTGTGAACAGAAGACTAAGTAGCAGCCCTTCAAATCTAAAAAAATAGATGTCTGGTGCTGAAAAGCACTAACTGATCTGGTAGATAGTGCTTTGACAACGAAGGTGGGGAACTTTGGCCTTGAAGTCCCATACTTGAACGATGAGCTGTATAACCCACCAGGCAATAGGGCAACGAGAAGCAAGTTGTCAGGAAGGGACTTCAGGATTGATAAAACAAGGAGTCAGATTGTCCAAGGGAAGCTATAGCTCTGCTTTCTTCGTATACTTTAGCACAGAACCAAGAGATGGTAGAACAATGTCCTAGTTAAAGTTGAAGCAACCCATCATGGATAGAAGAAAGTAGCCTTGGGCCCTCAAACACAACCTGGTCTTTGTGTAGTACAAAAATAGATTCTTTACAGATTGATGCTGCCAATTCATGAGACTCTTCTGGCAGATGTGATGGCAACAAGAAAAGCAACCTTGCAAGCAAATGAAGACAGAGAAATAAAGGGTGGTTCAAAAGGGCTATGTCTGAAGAACCAACAGAACCAAGTTAAGATCCCATGGAGTCACTGGGGAACATACAGGAAGAACAATGTGTGCAAGACCCTGTATAAACAAACAGCTGTCTCTGAAAAAGAACCACTAAGGCTGAGATCTAACCTTAATAGTGCTCAAGGGCAAACATTGATCCAAAACAAAAAAACTGGAGGAAAAAAATTATTTCCTACTAGATTTTGAAAAGTAACTCCACTTTTGTTGACGAACACACACACACACGTCTATGTAATTGCAAGGATCTTAACAAATGCTGTTCCAGATTCCTACCTGTATCTTCTCTGAAGAAAAAGCTGTTCTACTTTGTGTCTTTAGATGCCGATTCTGAATGTGAATGATTAATTAGATGGTGCACTTTTTCTGTTCTGGTGAGAAAGGCTGCATTATCTGCATCTCTTTAGAAGTGATTAACCCTTAGGGAGTATCTCCCAAGTGGATGCCTAAAACATGTAAAACCTGATTTGTATCTTAGTGCAGAGTTCTGCACCCAAGCAAGAAATGAATAAGGAATATATACAAAACACCTCTAGGTTGCCTTATTGCATTAAATTTGACAGAAAATGTCAATGCTGTAATTTGAAAAAGAAAGGTACATTTTTAATAACACTGAACTAAAATATAGCTTGTGTAGCCATTGCATATGCTGTATTTTTATTTACTATATTTTTTCACACATAAGTGGACTTATCCTTAACAATGGGTATAGGATTCTATTTATGGAGGGTTCCAATTTACAACATAGTTATTTGTTCTATTTTTTTTTTTTTTTCTATTGGTTGAACTAGATGGACTTGTGCCTTTTTTTCCAACCTGACAAATTATACCTATAAAAAGTAAGCATTCTTGATATCCACAGAAGTCAGATCTTTCTCCGAATGTAGGGAAGCAATGATCAACCTGGCAGACTCTATGAGGAAATTTTGTACCTCATGGAAGGTGTTGAGGACCTTCAGATCTAATCCATTTTGTTGTGGAGATGGTGAACAGATTGAACTAGAAACTCTGAAACCCCCCTTTGCCAGGACAATGGTTTGAGGGAGGAGCTGCACCAGAGCAGTGTGAAGGTTCACCAATCTCTGCAGTGATGTTCGCAAGTCTGACAACACATGAAGTAGAGTGAAGATACAGACTGCAATTCGAGGTTGTACCTCTAGCCTTAATGTTCTGGTTCCAAAGGTGTGAAAAGTCCTGGGACCAGACAACTGCAAAAAACACAACAGATGTTCCCACACTCCAATAAGTAGGAGCAACCCTTCACTGTAAGATAGATTTGATCACAGACTTGGAGGACTTGGGGCCAGAACTTATGGTAAAAAAAATTACGAGTTCCAGGCTTTGCCTTGGGGTAACAAGATCTCCTCTTAGCCTCAGGAGTAAATGGTTTCTCTGGTGGAGACTTTATCTACTTTTTCTGGGCTAAAAGTATGCTAATCCCTCCAGTTACTTCCTTTTTGAAATTGTCCACTTACTGGCCAAACAGGCATTCCACACCAAAGGGCATATGCAAGAGGATTTTTTTGCACTGATGCCCTGCAGAACATCATTTGAGTCAAAGCCTGCTTGTAGTCCTCTCTATATTGTACACTGAACAGTGCATTTGCAGTTCAATTACATTGCCTGCACAGTACCAATGTGTCAGGATGACTAACTCCTACATGTGTGCAGGAGTTACATCATCCCATGCCGGCCAATCAAGTTGGCCAAAGACCAGTACCCTGAAGAAACCACGAAGAAGAAGATGCTGGTGAGGGACCTCATGCCTCATGGACGTCTTTAAAAAGGAGGTAAGAATCTGCAGCTTTAGTTTCATTTTAAGTTTTGGAATTATATCCAATCAAATTGTGGAACATCTCAAGGATGATCAGTGGGAAGAGGATGCACCAGAGCTCAATTTTGAGTGTCATGGCAAAGGCTATGAATACTTATGTACGTGAGTTTTTTTCTGTTTTGTATTTTTAATAACGTTCAAAGATTTCAAAACGAACTTCTTTCATGTTGTCATTATGGGGTATTGTTTGTAGAATGTTGAGGAAAAAAAAAATGAAAATCTATTTTGAAATAAGGCTGTAACATAACAAAATGTGGCAAAAGTTAAGCGCTGTGAATACTTTCTGGATGCACTGTACCTGCTGGACATATGGCCAGAAGAGGACCTTTTTCTATATATCTGGTGCTCATCCCCTTCCGGACCATAGTACAATAAGCAAGTCACAACAAAAACAAATAACCTCCTGAATCTTGACCCTGCACACATTCTCTTCGCCTTTGCATCGCGACACACACACACACACTCACTCAGGTCCATAAATATTGGGACATCGACACAATTCTAACATTTTTAGCTCTATACACCACCACAATGGATTTGAAATGAAACGAACAAGAT